AATGATTTTAATTTTAATTCCGCAATCAAACGTTTTGCTTTCGCACTTTTCAACTTTGCCTGTGATGACACGGAATTTGCACTGCTAACTGTAGATAAAACATCATCATCAGGTATTTTCTGCACAGATTTCCACTGTGAAAATCTTTCCTGGCACTCAAAGAAGTTTTGACTACAATGTTCGTAATTCAATTCAAGCGTTTTCCGTACATCCGGGTCTGAGCATAAGTCTAAGCATAACAAATGTGCTGATTTAAATGATTCAAAGCGCTCACACAACGTGTCATACAATATTTGTACCTCATTTGCGTTCTCATGTGATATCATTTTCAGTTCTAAGTCTTTGTATAATCGGGTCAAATTTTCCGGTTGCGAAAAACGTGAACGTTTTAAAACTTAAAAACCCAAAAAAACCTATGCGTTTTGGATCTTTTTTTTTCGGTAGATATTTCCCCCCATAATTGCAGAAATCGGGAAAATTTTTTTCGGGGGAAATTGGGTTAAATTAAAATAAATTAAAGAAGTATGCGCCCTTTTAAATTTTATTTCCCCTTGATAAAAGTCAATAAAGCGTTTATTAAGCGTGATTTAACGTTGTAAGCGTTGATAACGTTGATAAAAGATTCTCTGAAATTTTTATTTTACAATTTGTACTTCGAAAAAATATAAAAAATAAAAAAAAATTCAAAAATCTCAAAAAATTATATAGAATTACACAATAATCTAATTAGAATTTTTTACCTTTAAATTTTTAAAACTTTCTGTTTATCTTTTAAACAAAATTTCATTATTTTGTTAAATTAAACAAACCGATTTTGACTTGTCTCAATACATCAAGTTCCAGATTTAAAATGACGAGATTCTCAATAACAAAACAAAACAAAATGATGACGTCGACGTAAACATCTTACGTCGCGTAAAGTAGCGTAACATATTGACGCCATTAACAACGTTCACAAATCTGAAGTACTTAGAAATCAATATGTTTCTAACACTTGCCATTCGACAATTGGCATAATTATCGACAATTGGCTCAATTATCTTGATTTTGTATCGAAGTCAAAACACTACTTTGTTTATATTTTTTTCACATGGAGCAATATTTTCTTCATGTGTTATGCATCTTTCAAATCCATTGTTACAACATTATAAAAAACCAGGTTTGCCTGTTTTAAACAAAGAAAACCTGTATTCATTTCTGAAACATAATGCGCCTTTAAATGAACGCAGTAGCTTATAATATCCTGTTGCCTCATGCAAAATTAATGGCGCGATACGATATTTAACCTTGAAATGAAGGCTTTCTTAGATAAAGTTACTATATGAGTCAATATCAGATTTCGCCTGTAATCTTGTCCTTTTCAATTTTTCACAAAATGCATGATCATTTTATAAAAAATAAATTTGCATGCTTGTAAGTACATAAATTATTGTTAACTAAGACATTTACAGGATAAGATATTCAACATATTTTTTTCTGGTAGTGTCATAAACCTAAATTAAAACTGATTATCCCTCGTCCTTAAGTCAAAATCCCAATTTCAGCTGTTTATCCTGTAAATTTGTATTACTAAAATACATATGTTTGTTAACTAACGCAAAATATAACCTTTTATATAATGTATTTATACAGTAAAAGCCTCAGTTAAGTATTTCAATTTGCAAAATGCAAGTTATAATTTTGTCCCCAACTTTTTTGACAAAAATGTCCTTCAAGTAACAGTAATATAAGTAGATTATTTTAGTTTAAGTAAATTGTTCCAGTGTGCTCTTCAAAAGAAGGTAATAGGTATAATACATGGCTACAGCAACAAAACATATGGACATTTTAAATAGGATTTAGAAAATTGAAAGACATTGAATAAAGGTTGGAACCATGACTTCGAACAGTGTCCTTTAAGTAACGAGATTCTTATTATTTAACTTATGAGAAAGATTCCCTTTTGTATTGCTGCTATTAGCAAATATGTTTCAGTCATGAATTAAATGATCAAAATTGTCTCCCTTATCTTATCTGTGTAAACAGGCTGTAAAATAACCTGAATAAGTCCTTGCAGTAACTGTCCTTACAATAATGTTACTGCAAGTACAAAATCTGTTACTGAAAGTACAAAATACAACACAATTTTTATTTAACATATAATTATGGATAAAGATACGATATACATTTTCTTGTTGGCATAATATATTTATTATTAATATATTTATTCTATAATTAGACATTTATGCCATTTAAAACTTCTACTTTATGTTATTTGTTATTCGAAGGACAACCTGTGTTATTGAAAGGACTTTTTAATTCAAACTCAATGTACTGTACTAACATATCTACATTCAAACTTGGAGAAAGTTTCTTTTTTGTTTCAGTATATATATTCAATTGGGTTATTTTTTGCTTTTACAGTACATGCTTTTGTAAAATTGAGGAAACTCTGAATAATCTTGCACCCTTTAGAATCCTCAACATTAAGTTACTGTAAGGACAATATACATCTTGTTGTAATTGAAATGCATGTCATTTCACAAAATAACTGTAGCGAATTTAGAAATAAAAGTAATAAGGCAGTACCAGTATATAAACTTATCTCTACAGACCTATTTTTTGCATAGAATTACAGTTTACTTTGCAAAATAGAAATCAAACCTTACTTATATCATTCACAAGCAAGCCTTTAAGGCATTTTTACAAAAGAAAATTGTTGTCTTCAAAACTACTAAAATTAGTCATTAAAAAGTAGTCCCGTGAAACTTAGAACATGACTGTTTATTTACTTTCCGAGTCCTATTTTGGCCTCATGTAAAATTCCTGGCATTATCGTACTTTGTGAACACAGTTAGTTTCTATTTTGTTTTATTTGCTTAAAATGCTGCACCAAAACTCTTAAGGTCAGTTGGCAAATTTCAAGCTTGAATGGTTGAAAAAGACACCAGGTTATTTAGCACAGAAGGGCCACTGACAATTTGTAAGCTAAATGATGACTTTGTCACAAGAAAGAATCTCTGTAAATTTATTTACATTCATTCAGGAGGATTAAAATTATGCATTCTAAAAGGTCAAGAACTTTGCATTTAATTTTAATTATTTATCTTAGAAAACTCCTGATTAAAAATATAGCATGTAATATCAATCTTCAAAACTTCTGATGGTATTCTCTATGAACTTGTTTATAAAATTGACTGGGACGAGTTTAGACTGAATTATGCGAACTCACAACATTGCTTGGTTACCTTAAAGACTTGTAACTTTTCCCCATTTTAAATTTTTTTGTCATTTCAGTAACAAATATGTCCGTCCTGTAACTTTAAAAGAGAGCTTCCCTTACTTTTGCTATTCAAATTCAAGATCTATTTAAGAATAATTCAAAGCTTATTTTCATTTCTGTATGTTGTTAACATTTAATTGTTAGTTCGATGATACAAAATAAACGTAAATTTACAGTTATAAGTCCTTTCAGTAACATTCATTAGTCCTTGCAGTAACAAGCATGTCCTTGGTGTAACACATATTGATTTCTAGTTCTGCAATATAGCAACATAGTAAAAGTTTATTTTTGCATTCAGATTGATAAAACTTACTCTGTTCATAAAAATAGAACAAGAAAAAATGATATTCTTATGTGCGTGCGAAACAAACTGACATTGTTTTACTCAATTTCCTGTTTTGTTTACAGTTGAAGACGAAAAAAAGTCTTTTGTACAGAAAAAAATACATCTATAAAAAAATCCCATTTCAGACTTAAACTGAAATTTATATAAAGTTGTGTTGTTTGTTTTGCTTTGTTGTTTAGATATTATTATTTTATTAAAAATGTAAAAAACGTTATCGTTACTGCAAAGACAAACAATGGTCAATATTGACCTTCTGACAATCATAAACGATATAAAATGGACGAGTTTATGTTGCACTTTGTAAAACTAGCTTTCAAATTCATATGCTTACTAGATGAGATAAAACTTTGCAGCTAAATAAGGTATTCATATTTGAATAAATTCAGAACCCTAATTCAGGCGAAATTTGATATTAGCTCATATATATTTATATTAAACGTCACTTCTTTGTCATTTACGATATCAGCAAATTGTAATTGTGTTTAAGTAACTTGATCAAGTTTATGACATTCATAATCAAAGTACGAGAGTAAACTATAAGCTAACTATGGTGGCTTATATATGTCATCTTGAACTAACTTTATCGTCTTTTCGACAATTCGAATACTCGCCAGCCACATATAAGTCATAATTCACCTTTCACATTTTCGTCCGGCGACGCGGAAATATTTTTGTGTAGCGGGTAAAAAATGACAAAATTTCGGTTTCGGACTATAAGCCCTATATCTACATAGGAACTAAGTTGAAAACTAGACAACAGTTTATAAATATCTAAATATGTCATGACAGAGACAACACCCGTATGGAGGAGCCTTGCCAGCCAGCAGTCTGACACACAGGGACACGGCACATCGTTGGGATAGTGCTAAAAGTAATTCTAGAAGAAGTATATACTGTATAATATTATAAATAGACAGTATATATATTTTTTTCTAGAATAATAATTACTTATTACATTATCCCAACACTGTTCCGAGTCCCTGCATGTGGTCTTACCATGCTGATATTTTGATATCCAAAAAATGATAATGGATAATTCCCAAAATGACAGATGGACAACATCATTTAATAAAGAAATTCAATACGTTAGTAGTCAAAATACCGGTATTAATATTCTGAGATAGTTCTGTTCTTGGCCAGAATTTCGCTTCAATGAGGGGAGAAAATGCCCATACACAAAAATAGCACAAAATCTGAACGTTTAGTACAATAATTATTAGTTGGATTTGTACGTTAGCGGCTAACATGTCGTTTCTTTGTTTTCGAACTGTAAATAAAACGCTTGAAAAATGCGACAAATTCACCATCTCATAAGACGACATGGCAAAAATAAGCCACCATATGTCGTCACACTTCACAGGCGTACATGCTTGCATTATCGCGTTCTGGATTACGCAGAGTGAAAACTTGGAAAATATGTAGGACAGTGCCAAGGAAGTAACCTTTAATACTTATAATAGATACAGCAAAAATCCTCTACGTATACATGCACGGAATTGTACTTTTCTTCATTAAATGCACACACACAGATATGAAAAATACTCCGGATATCTTTCGAGTTTATCTTAGTACAGTACATTTGCTTTCAGCTGATAGATAAACATTTAATCCCTCAACAACTATGCAAACGCTTAAGCAGATTTGAAAAAGTGAAGGGCATTTGATTGATAGCACTTGGGTGGAGTAAGATATCTCGATACATATTGGTACGGATGGATAATTTACAATAAACCACGTGAGTAGAATTTTCTGTTCATTTCTTTCCTTTTAATATTGCATGCTTGGAGGAAATATTGATTAACATTACCGGCAGTAAGATAACAGAACGAGATTAGTCATTGATTTTTGTGTCATACATGAGGCAAATACAGTGTATTGAATCGAACAAATAACGACATTTCCCTAGCTCAGTCGAACTGACATTTTTTTGAGACAACTTTGTTTGTAAAATTTGAAAACAACTATGATTGTAATATTTTACGTCTGAATTGTTCGCATCTGATTTACATATTTAATTTTAGCTGTATTTCAAACTGTCGACTTTTTAAGTATTTACCTTAATTAAAGGCCCATAGATTGTACCCCGGAAATTTATTACTCGAAAATGTTATTGTAAGTGTCCTGTTATGCTTTCTCTTAAATGTTACTCATTGACAAAATAACTGAACAATCTTTATTAAGTATTTTGTATGGAAGTATAAAAAACAACACCAAAAAACAAAAAAAAACAAAACAAAAAAAAAAAAAAAAAAAAAAAAAAAAAAAGAGAGAAAGACAAACAACAAAAGCAAAACAACAACAAAAAAAGTAGATCATTTTGTTAGTTTCTTGCTCCAAGAAAAGAAATACCTACTAATTAAAGATTTGACACTGCTATAATTTATTGGACCTAAAACACACAGGTGCTCGTCCAGTCTTGGTGCCCATATAAAAAAAAATGAAGTTAAAAAAAAACAAAACAAAACAAAACAAAAAAAAAAAAACAACATCAAAACAACTATTTTGGGTTGAGTGTAAGAAAGAAAAAAAATTGAATTTTTTTTTTTCCTATATACCATTACCACGAAAAAAGTCACCTAATCGCCATAACGCTACGGAGCTTTACTAGGACACCGCTGTGGAACAACCCCAATGTCGAGTTCTGTAACAATACAAGCTATTTTGCTACTCTTTACACATCGTGCATTAAGAAAATTGTTAACATTCTTCTTCTACCTTACACACAATCTTAAATAACCTACATTTAAACTCGGACACTCCAATTTGTTAAAATCTTGCAAAATTCCGTTGATGGTCGGCCATTTTGTCGAAAACGAAAGTACAAAACCTACATCGTACTGTTCCGCTCTTCTGGTTTCCTACGAATATGTTCGCAGAACAGTAGACAACCATCAATTTATTGGTTACTGTTGTCTATTGTTTAGCGAACGTAGTCGCAGGGGACCAGAACAGCGGAACAATATGGTGTATATTTTTACTTTCGTTTTCGACAAAATGGCCGACCATCAACGGAATTTTGCAAGATTTTAACAAATTTGAGTGTCCGAGTTTAAATGTAAGTTATTTGAGATTGTATGTAAGATAGAAGAAGAATGTAAACAATTTTCTAAATGCACGATGTGTAAAGAGTAGCAAAATAGCTTGTATTGTTACAGAACTCGACATTGTGGTTGTTAGTAAAGCTCTGTAGCGTTACGGCGATTAGGTGACCTTTTCGTAGTAATGGTATATAGGAAAAAAAATCAATTTTTTTTCTTACACTCAACCCAAAATAGTTGTTTTGATGTGTTTATTTTTTCAACTTCAATTTTTTTTATATCATTATGGGCACCAAGACTGGACGAGCACCTGTGCTAAAATATTGGCTGTTTCTCCTTCCCGCTAGCTACCTACCCATAATAATAACTGATACAAAAAAGTAAAACAAAGAGAAAACAACAACAACAACAACAACAAGAAAAAAAAACATACTAACAACAACAACAACAAACACCCCCCCCCCCCAAAAAAAAAGAAAAAAAAAGAAAAAAAGAAGAAGCACTAATTAACTAAGCTGGAAGTCTCTGGTAAAACCCAACAACAACAACAACAACAAAATATAAATAAAAAAGACTGCAGGTGCCAAATCATAATGCATACTGATATAATTTTTTTCTTTTAATGTAATTATTTGTCTTTTTTTCAAGAGATTCACCAATTTTTGAACACACAACTATTATACACAATGGCGGATTTAGTGCGAGACACATTAGAAAACTACTCCGCGGCTTCAAATCTCATGCACAATGAGAAAATCCGAGAAATGATGGCATCCGGTCAAACCATCTACCACTTCGGCTTTGGACAGTCTCCATTCCCAATCATGAACAAAGCAGCCGACAGACTGGCAAAACACGCGTCAGAAAGCGCGTATCTACCAGTAGCAGGTAATGTTACGCACATTTTTTCACGAAAAAAAAATCAACAATTATAAGCCCACTTTTCGTACAGAACTTCTTTTGAAAACGACCAGCTTCCGTTGTCTACGAGTATAAGCATGGCTTTTATGTAAGTTTGAATAAAGGAAAAGATAACTTTAGCTGGTTTTGATGTTAAAAAAGCTTATTCTATTTAATTTAAATATTAAAAATGCTAGTTTCTCGAAAACTCCAATGTTGTCTTTTTTTTTTGCTTTCAACATCGGACGCTTTTTGTTATATTAATATGTACATGTATTTCTAATTGTAAAACATGAAATCAAGCATCTGCTGTGTATATATGTACACGGGGAAATACATGTATATTCGTTACAGCTACATGTATATTGCAAGGTTGATGAAAATTTTCAATTTTCATGTTTGGAATACATTGGGCGTTCGTGGCCGAACGGTTAAGGTCGTTGATTTAAAACCACTTGCCCATCAACGCTGTTGGTTCGAATCCCGACAGGGACTTTGGATTCTTTCTTTTGTTAAGCTAGCATACGGACCGACTATGGTCTTCCTCCACCAGTGAAGCTGAAAAAGAGCTATATGACCTATACTGTGGAAGTGCAACGTAAAAACCAAATCCAAATAAAAACAAATGCAGAATCATTTCAAATTCCTTAAACGCCGGCGTCCTTGTTTTTTTTGTAAATTTCAGGGATTGAAGCGTTACGAGTTGCCATTCGAAATTTTCACAATAAGTACGACAGTATTTCTTTCAGTGCCGATGACGTCATTGTCGGCCCAGGCAGCAAGGAACTCATATTCCTTCTGATGAACATATTCCAGGGAGGTAATTACGTACTGTTACTATATAACCGTCTGGATTTTTGTAAATTGACTCGTTTAGTTTCCATGGTTAGGAACTGTCCATGATCAAAATTTTTGGATATCAAAAATAGAAATTTGAAGCTGCTCAACCAGCATCATTGTGCTTTGCCAGTCTTCACGGAGGTGCAGGCTTAGCTATCTCAAAACTGGTGACAAAGGATGATCAGTTTCATGCAGGATAGTGATTTACATAGAGGGAACAATTTAATTAAAAAGTAATTTAGAATAAATTAATTACATTTTTAGAATGGAGAATTAATTATCTTCGACATTGAACCTGTGACGGCTTGAAACATAGTAAACAATCATTAGGCCAAAAATAGAAATATGTTTGTTGCCCCTTCCCGACCCATTAAAATTAGGGTTGGGAAGGTAGGTAAATTATTCTTTTATATGTGCATAATAATAAATAATCTGCATATATGTATAATGAACTATTAAAATTAATTTATTAAGTGCAATAACATATGAACATGCATTTCCATATGCACAACTGACATATGCAACAATTTATTAACTATGCTAGCTGTCTAAAATATCAGATTAGATTGTACCTATTGTACTCTGAAAGAAAAAAATACTTTCATCACCTAAGAACCTGAAAAAATATTTTGGGTAGGGGCAATTTGTTGGGTTGGTAGGGAAGGGGAAACAAAGTAAATTTTATTTTAGGCCTTATTGCCCCCAATTGTTTTGCACTTTCGAGACTAGTTAAACATGCATAATATTCAAACCAATTTTGAGTACTTCTAGAGAAACAAGCCTGGTATTTCGTTTTAACCTTTTATCAATGGTTAATGCCCTTGCACTGGTCTAAAGCAAGATTTTTGGGCTCGGGAAAAGAAAACGAGCCTTAAGTGATAAGAATAGATTTAAAATGTGGAAGATCACTAGGTGAATACGCTAGAAGTTTATTGGTTACATCATAAAATGTGTGCTCATATCTTATTGCAAGTATTTTTGTCTTAATCGTACCGAAAAAAAATTAAAAAGAAAAATGCCGCCATTTTTATGTTTCAGATATACTTGTTATATCCCCATCTTGGACATCCTACAAGCCTCAGGTAATGTTGTCTGGCCACAAAGCTAACGTCGTACCTACATCTATGGAGGATGAATGGAAAATAAGACCAGAGAAATTCACCCAGGTTAATATACCCCTATCATTTCATTACTGGTGCTTATTTTCTTTAATGGAATTGACCAACTTCCATTTCTGGAATTTTCCATTATCAATATTGGGTAAATCGAAATAAAAATGAAAAGAAAGTAAGCAAACAGTTTTGTGATTTGTCAGACTGCACGAATGTGATTCACATTGTTATGCATGCCTCCTTCTTTATTTGAAGCAGCGCACTTCAAAAGCATTACCTCACTTTAAAAAGAATTTAAATTGATTTGTAGTACTGTCTAGATATATTTGAAGTACTTAAAGACCTTATTAACGTCAACTTTTGTATCTCTATTTCTTTACATATTTCCCTTTTCGAATTTTATAGTATATCTTCAATAGTCACGACATAATACATACACACTGTCGGGGGGGGGGGGGGGGGGTAAACCGGTGAACATAAACGGGTATAAACTATACAAAACAAACAATTTATATACAACTATATTTCAGCTTGCATAATTTTCTTTTCCATTCCAGTAACCATGTACAATTTAAATTGACAAAGTCTGTTTAACATGCACTCACCTTTCGCCCATAAATCATAGTGTATCCTGTCGTGTAAGCAACTCAATAACAATCGAGTTTGCATCACTGGATATTTTGAATTACAATTTAAAACGCCGACTTATTTTTTTAAAAATCCACTTCAATGGCATTGAATGTCATTTCAATGGCATTGAATGTCATTGTTCAATGTTTGATTCCATTTGTATTATTTAATTGTTAATGTCAATTTTATTTCAACGTTAATTTATCTACAATTTCCTTTTGAATGCCAATTAATTTCATTGACATTTCTACGAAAGACCGGTAGGGCCATTTCAACTTCAAGAATTCCCGATTTCATCTTCATGAATTCACGATTTCAACTCCACGAATTGACGAATTCAGCTTCGTGAATGCACGATTTCAACTTCATGAATTCACGATTTCAATTTCATGAAATCACGATTTCATCTTCACGAATTCAACTTCATTAATTCACGATTTCGACTTCATGAATACATGAAGTTGCCCTACCGGTCTTTTGTACATTTCCATCCTAAGTGTTAATGTTGATTTCGGCATTGTTGAAGTTAGATTAATGGCATTGTTAATTTTACTTAAATGGCATTTATAATGTCAATTCATTGTAATTGTTGATGTCAATTTAATGCAATTGTTAATGCCTGTTTACTTTAACAATATTTTATTTATAATCCACACATTTACATAATAAAGTACATAAAATAAAATTTACGGATTGAGAAGGAAGCTTGTAAAGCTTTTTTGAAAACGCTCTCCGTAATCAGTATAAATGCCTGTTTAATGGCATTGTTGATGTTAGATTAATGAATTTGATAATTTTGCTTAAATGGCATTGATAATGTCAATTTAATGCAATTGTTAATGCCACTTTGATGGCATTGTTGATGTAAGATTTATGACATTGTTAATTTTACTTTAATGTCATTGTTAATGTCAGTTTAACAGCACTGTTAAAATTGCCTTAAACTGTTCAGTTGTTGATGTCAGTTTAATGCATTTGTAAATGTCAGTGTACGGCATTTTTTATGTAACATTAACGACATTGTTAATTTAGCTTATTGTCAATGTCAGTGGAATGGCTTTGTTAATGTTAGCCATATGATATTGTTGATTTCAATTGAATGTCATTGTTAAAGTAAGTTTAATATATTTGCTTAAGTAAGTTTAATGGTGTTTTTATGCTAATTAAATGATATTGTTGAGGTTAGTTTAATGTCATTGTTACTATTAGTTTAATGACATTGTTTATATAAATTTAATGTCATTGTTCAAGTAAGTATATTGGTATGGTTCATGCTAATTTAATGATATTGTTGAGGTTAGTTTATGCCATTGTTACTATTAGTTTAATGACATTGTTTATATGAATTGTTCAAGTAATGTGTTTATGCTAATTAAATGACATTGTTGACGTTAGTTTAAAGGGATACTCCGGCAAAATAATGGCAAAAATATAAAAATGATTTTCTGTACTCAAAGCACACTAAAATGACATTTCTTAAAGTCCCAATATGAATTTCTGTATAAATTCTATATATTTTGGGTTTGAAAGTTAAATATATCTATATATGTTGAACGAAATTTTGGCGCGAACAGAATCACCGAATTGTTTAAAAACAAATCATGCGATTTGAACAAACCCTGGAAGTTACAATAACAAATATTGTGGATATTGTATGATTGAAACAAGTCTAAGTAATTGATTTGACATGTTTTTTAACGTTTCCAGAGTACAGAGTAACAACTATTGTGAAATTTTAGCGCTCTAACCTGACTCACGCGGGTCAAGTTAGGAAAACACCATTTTATTCTTTATATGGAGAAAAGTTTTGTTCCTTTGACTGTTTAGTGTATTCATTTTGAGGACATTTACAGAATAATGAATGAAAATTTCAAAACTAAGAAATGAAAATTTTGCCTGTGTCTCCCTTTAATGCCATTGTTAATATTTGCTTAATATCATTGTTAATGTTAATTTAATGTCATTGTTTATTTATTTTTCAGTATTTGAAGGACAATAATCTAAGTGGAACAAAACTTTTAATAATGAACAATCCAGACAATCCGAGTAAGTGAACATCACCTTACATATTAGACTAAACATACAAATGTATATATGCTCTTAACTGTTTTGGGTGTGGGATAATCGTAAAATATTTACAATCAGACTTGTATATAAAGACCAGCATGGGATATATCAGCATGGGGTAGAGTGGTATTTGTAAACAGGCGGTTTTAAAGAAAGTTTGCATCAATTTAATTTTGAAGAGATATTTGTACAGTACAGTGTAATCACTTGCTTTATTTAAATACCATGTATCCTTCACTTACTTATAAAATTTGATATGCTTTGAAGAATTCTGTCTTAAGTGAAATTGTATCAGTTAACTTCATACTGATTTAACGGTTGCATGACATTAGAATAAAATATATTGAATATTTAGAACTATTAGGTGTAATATATGATTTAATGTATTGAACATTATGTCCGAAGTGTCTCTAAGATTCTTTAATACACACTATGCAAGAAAAAGGGAAAAAAATCATCTTTTTTTAATGCATTTTCTCTGTCAATATTTTATGATTATCCGTCTTAATATTTTAGCATAACTCTTTTTTTGTGTGTTAACATTAAGTTTTGTTTCAGCGGGTACCTTGTACACACAAAAAGAACTTAGTGATTTAAGGTAATGAGCACCAACTGGTTACATGTATTCACTTACACAACATTTTAAATTATGAATTGATTTCTTTGCGAATAATCCGACAATTAAGATGTTATACAATATGTAATCTCTTAAATACTGATCAAATAATCAAATCAACATCAAATTATATCTATACTTGAACAAGATATAATCACAAATTGGCATTCTGCAAGGAGAGGCATTTAGACCAACTTTGTTTTCTTTTGTGTAATATCTTACTTTAATTCCTGTTTCTAATAGCATGCTCACGGGTCTTCTCTTGTGTTACTTAGCAGATTAACCATTTTCCATTTTTAATCTTATTCAAGTATTAATTCTTGGTTTGAAGAATATGTTTGAAATAATGATTATATTGCTTATAACTTGTCATTTGGTTTGTTAACCATAAGTCTGTATATTGAATACATCTTTTTTATATTTTAGTGAGGTATTTAAAAGAGAAAAAGTAATTGTTTTATCGGATGAAATCTACGGAAGACTTACATTTGATGATAGTTTTGTGTCTATGGCAAAGGTGAGAATTTATAAAGAAGTGTGGTTTTCATTTGTATATACGGATATTTCTTTAAAGAAATGAAGGTTAGAAATATTTTAGATTTTTGAGTATAATTCTGCACAATTGTCAGGTTTTATTTTTAATGGTGCTTTCTGCAAACTAATTGGTCATTGGTTAAACCACTCAGTCTCGAATTCGTTGAATATGAAATTAGCCATTGGTTAAAATTGAATAAGTTTACAGTTTGCCAATTATTGGAACTTCGTGATTTTTCTTAATGTTTTTTATATTTATACACATTTTAGAAGATTGGATATCTTGCTGAATTTGTGAAGCAAAAGTTAACGTGATAAGGGATTCTGATAACCTTTACCTTGTACATAATCAATATAACCAAACGCTTTTATGTTAATCATATTGTACATATCTATCGCGCTACAGCAAAAACAATAGTTCAAGATTTTCCCAGGCCCACAGGGACTAGTATATTGAAATGTTTTATCCTTGCTTTCAGGTTTATCCCGAAGGGACCATATTGTGTTCAGGGATGTCTAAATGGGCCAGCATGGGAGGGTGGCGGGTAAGTATAATTTTATCTACGGATGGACTTTACAGTTGTATCAAAAATATGTCTTGTAAGGAAATACATGATTTTAATATTTTATATGACTGTCAAATATGTAGAAATGTCGAGGTGGAGGATGAATTTCAATTATTTTTAAATGTGCAAGATAGAGAGGTATTGACAAACGATGTAAAATAATAATACACACATATACACCTTATTTAAAATCAAATATTAAACCATGTGTCAGTTTGTGATCTGCGTGTGCCAGGAAATCGGTATAAAAGTCTTTTCAGTTTAATGGGGGATAACGTGTAGAGCCCGTTCATTCTGCTCATTTGAGCGAGTAACATATACTTATAATGATTTTTTTTTTGGTGGGGAGGGGGTTGGGGAGCGCAAACGTCAGTAATTCTTTCATAAACTGAAACCGCGAGTTTTGGATAATCAGAAATTCACGCTATTTTCACTTTACAACAAAAAGATTTTCCAAAAAAAAGAAAAAAAAAGAAAAAAATTTTTTTTTGGGTTTATAAGTTGAATGAGCGGGTTCTACAATAAAAAAGGAATCATTCTAAAAAGATGAAAATAAATTCTAGACCGAATTTTACAATTGGTTTTCTGCCCCACACAGAGTCACGTGGTATAGGCATCATGTAAGTACTAAAGCCTAAAACGATAAATCGAGTTTAAAATTTTTGGTTAACCATTTAATTGCGTGGTACTTTTTATTATAATTTAACCATTTAATCTTATTTATTAAGTTAAATTAGTTTTATTCGTGAATTATAAGGAAATGTAAATAACTAAAAATTTTCACCCCTGTAAAACAGGTTGGATACCACGTGTACCCGGAGAAGCTGTCCGCCCTCAAGAACGCTGTCAGGAGTGCGGCTAGTCATACATACACCACTGTAGCAGCTCCGATACAATTTGCCGTAGCTGAGGTAATAACAGAGATATTTTAGATGTTATTTTTTTACATAAGCTGCATAACCATGCCGAATTTTGCCAGTCCATGAGCGCGTGCGCGCGTGTTTGTTCGTGTCTGCTAGTGTGTTTGAATTGTATAACTGTTGACAAATTTACCGTTACGGTACGGTGTACAGGTTGCGATAGAGGTGTGGCATAGATCATGCCATATTTTGTGAATTGAAGTGTGGCGACATAACATTTACTGCGTTATTTTCAACTTATACAAAGACAAGACGAGACTGTATAATTTTTCTTACTTAATTCACACACATACATTATGAATTCAAAAACATTATAAACCACGGCGCTCTGTATTACATTATATATTATACTGTACAGTTCTTCTTTTATATTTCTTGCACTGAAGCACACCAGTATCAAAAATAGATTGAGTGCACTTATTTTGGCATATTATCATTTTCAAGTTAAAATTATATATAAATGTTTAATAAGTAAGTGCGTTCACTTTTTGTTACGGTATATTCGCATTAAATTAAAAAAAGTATGCAATATATAGCTAGGCAGTAAAAAGTTAATTATTTTGCAACATCAAATATTCCTCATGGGATATTAATCTTTATTGCTTTCTTGCACAGTCCAAATATTACTATTGCAAACGCTATAAAATATGATAGTATCGATAAAAGAAAAATTCATTCAACATCACTTTCCCATTTTGTAAAACCGTCACATTGTGTTTGCTTTTATGTGTTATCTATGTAGGGCTATGTACCAGTGAGCGACGCCCACTTGAAATTTATGATGATACTTTAAGTCGACGTCCCGTGTATGAGTGCTTAAACAATTGGCACGCCAAAGAACCAGAAAAAGCTGCTGGAATTGGGGCATATTTCTGTATCTTGCACTATCCTCCAAAAATCTAAAATAACTAAATCTCTTCTGGAGGACTCGCCCATATGGGTGGCGAGTTTATATAAATTCAAATACACACACTGTTCACCAGTCTATCGTAACGCCGCCGCCGCCGCCGCAAGCTTCTCACACTCATTGCCGAATCAATATTTTTGCGTTATAGCTAGAAAACAAACGAGATGTGTTAAAAACAGAATGAGGAGCCCTTCAGCGGGGATTACCAGCCATGTCCAGATGTTTAAATCATAAGCCCGCCATTGGAGGGGCATGTTACTGGTGCATTTTAACAAACAGTCAATGTTTCCATAAAATGTTTTAAATGTTTGTGTATAATTAACCAAATCTATGCTTAGAACTGCTACGGATGCGGTTCTCTAGGTATATGTAATTGCAAGAAAGAATTTCCGCAGCCACATAAATTTTGTATTGATAATTTAATCTTGTAAATTTTTTGTAGACGTCATGGAATTTATCAAACCGTTTTGATATTTGATTAAACTTGCTGTTATTTGAATGTCATATATCAAATGTCACATATCACAGTCGTAATAATTTTTTTAAAACTGACAGGTGTTAAATGATTTGGACACGTGCGAAGCCTACATGAGACACACGTGCCGCATAATGGCAGCAGCTGCACAGTATTGTCACAAGTAGGTCTTTAAAAATTCATATATTTACTTAAAAATGAAAACATAAGCTTCTTTTTTTTTATTAAAATCGCTTAATGCCATTCAATGCCTAGGTGGAAATCTGACAGTGACTTTGGAATATTATAAATTTTAAGGAACGGGGCGTCCGTAGCCGGCTGGTTAAAGTCGTTGATCCGAACCACATCTCTGTGGGTTCCAACCCCATCAAGGACCCTGGATTCTTTTATGTAAGGAAAGTGTCCAGCTAGCTTACGGAACGTCGGTGGTTCTACTCCGGTGCCCGCTCGTGCCTGAAATAATGCACATTGGAGCACAAAGGTTTAGTTACACCAGTAAAACTGAAAAGTCACTGTATTACCAAAATAGTGTGAGCGTAATTAAAACGCAGCAGCAGCAACAACAACAACAACAACAACAACAACAACACTGTTATCATCATCATCATCATCATCTATCCATCATCATCCATCATCATCCTCCATCATCATTCATCATCATCATAATCATCACCATCGTCATCATCATAGTCATCATTCATCATCATCATCATCATCATCATCATAAATAACAATACTGACATAACAACAATTACAACGCCACCACCACCAACAACAGCAACAACAATATCTTATTGACGGTCACATTAGGTCGAAAAGAAATGCAGGGATTGGCACTTGAGGGTTTGTACGTCAGTAAAGTCGGATGTTGGTTAAGCAGTCATATGACCCTAACAACGTGAACCATACTCACTTATACGTCCATAAAATACGGATTGAGATAGACACGCAATTAATATGTTCATATAAATTTAGACGGATGTTAACAAAGTTAGACTCACTATGTTCCCATATATATTCATCGAGAAACATCTTTGTCAAGTGCTCTTCTTAAATACGATGTACTATAAATTAATAAATAATTGACATTAAATTTATGACACTAAATTTATGACATTAGATTTAAGACACTAAATTTACACCTATACTGCGAATATCGTAGCGTCCTTGATTGCATTCCTCACATATTTTCGGTATCTTAATTAACCTTTACCTAAATTACTTTAATGGACTTGTCTAGCTTTCATTTTGGAACTGTCCATGATCAATTTTTGGGGATATAAAATTAAAAATGTTAAGTTGAGCAGACAACAGTATAGAGCCAGACCAGACGGCACTGATGTCTCTACACTGGTGGCAAGGACTAAAAATATCTGCTGGTTAAATATAGTTTCGTATATGTACGTTTACGTGACACTACATGAATGTCGTACGTACAGTACGTGTGCGTATTTTTAAGACAACAAGGGAAATAATTCATATAGAAACCAGACTGCATTTATAAAAGTAAAGTACAGTAAGTTCCCCTTGGCTACGTCACTCTGTAAACAGAAACTCGTCCTTTAATAAATTATTTCCACATTATTCATTCTCTTTAGCATAATGTTATTCATAATTGATTGTTCTAACTATAAATTTATTTGTAAGTCAAAATACATCATAGAGATCCTTTGATGTGTTGTCGCTTTATTTCATGAATGTTTAAATCAACTCAGGAAGTTTATTTTGGTGTTAAAGTTTCCAGACCATTTTGTTGCAGTAATAAAGTTATTTAAAGCTAGCACGCTTTCCGCGTATAAAGTATTTCTGACTATAAACCATTCCGAAACCAATTACTCTTAGATGTTATTATTATCGTGTCTTCATTATTGACCAATGAAAAGCTTTTGTTAGAATGTTTTATGTGATTTATACAAGGAAAGTACGTCTATATAGTATATACGCAATAACTTCCATATAATTAACTAATTTATATCCTAATTTATATTTATAATATACGTTTATATATATTCGCCTAGATTGAAGTATCTTGTTTGGTTAGTGTTTAAACCGTAGAGATTCACGTAAAGGGAAGTTTTAGTAATTGAATATACATAACGGAAAAATAAAACCATGATTTAAGATCTTAATATGTTTATATATATAGTTAAGTTATTACTTGAACATTCGATATCAGTTTGGTAGGTGTACCAACAAGGTCTAGGAAGGTATGAGACAAATAGAAACACATAGAAAAAATTTATTAGCCATTATTGCATACTTAAATATGTATAGATTTAACGCATATATATGAGCTAAAGAATAACTGTATATATGTATGTAAAAAATCAGAAGCTAAAATAAACAGCTTCAAGCTTCAACTTAAAAAACACCCCCAAGATTTTAACTAAAAACTTACCTGCCTTAGTGTATTGAGCGTCCGAGCTCTACCTTAATTAGCTTAAAACTTACAATACTTACCTGCCTTAGTTGTCTTTGAGCCTCCGAGCTTTAACTTAATTAACCTTAAAACTTACAAAACTTAACTGCCTTGGTCGTCTTTTAGCATTCGAGTTCTAACTTAATGAACTTAAAACTTACAAAACGTACCTGCCTTAGTTGTCTTTGAGTTCACCTACCTGCCATGGTGGTGTCTGCGGTTACCCCATTTCTTTGGCTACCCGTTTACATTTAGTATTTTCTCATTTTTATAAATACCCTCTCTATCATTTATATCTAATACCGTTTTATTGTTTCAGAGAACTGTCTGAAGTTGGAGTAAGTTCCGTCAAGCCTAAAGGTGGTTTTTATATCTTCCCAAACTTTGAAATTCTCCGAGCTAAGTTGAAAGCTCGTGGAATAGAACGATGCGAGGATATGGTGAAATCATTATTTGACGAGACTTCAGTTTCTGTAAGTTTATATGGTTATGTTATTGAGATCATATGAGCCGCGCCATGACAGAACCAACATCGTGTGTTTGCTACCAGCATAGATCCAGACCAGCCTGCGCATCCGCGCAGTCTGATCAGGATCCATGCTGTTCGCTATCAGTTTCTCTATTTGTAATAGAGTTTGTTAGTGAACAGTATGGATCCTGATCAGATCGGCGGACCATGCTGGTCGCAAACCCATTATGTTGGTTTTGTCGTGACGCGGCTCATATAAACAATATTGTTCTTTTGTATCATAGTTTGTGGACCTTTCTGTTGAAAATGTGTCAGAGTTAAAACTTATACATATACATGCATAGTGCGTTAACTGGAAAACAGGTATTTGTTACCCGCACTCCAGAGCATGACCGTTGATTGGCTCATTTTTCTGAGGTTTACTTATTGAGTATATTCAGATGCTCGTTCATTGGTAACTTCTTTCGGGGGCGGGGGAAGGGGGTTCATATTGTGACAACAGAGACAAAGTATTTATAGACCAAACAAATAATGGAAGCGAAATTTCAGACCCTGATGTGCTTATCTGCAAAACCGGAATAGTCCAAACTCCTCGAAGCGGTTACTTCCCTTTATATATGTACACAAACGCCAAAAATTTTAAAGGGAGCCCTCAAAAAAGATTGTAAATGACAGGGCATTTTTTTGAAAACCCTTCTCTCCTTATTTTATTCCCCCCCTTTGTGGGGGGGTACACGAGTTTGGGAAACGAAGGCTGGAAATAATCCCGTTAGGCAATCATTTTTTTTTTGTTTGTTTTTTTTTAAAATTTTAAAATTTTTTAAAGCCAAAAAAAACAATAAATTAAATATCAGTTTTTCATTTAGTTTTAACCAATTCTACATTATAAACTAAAAACAGTTTGGTTGGCACTATCCCAAAAAAAATTTGGGTTTTATATTTCACAACCTCCCCCTTTCTGAATCTAGCCCCAAAACAAATTCACCCCTTCGGGTTTTTGTTTTATTTTGCTTGAAAAAATAGATAGCCTTTTTTTAATGTTTTTTTCTATACTTGTTTGCCCCCGTGCATATATCTTTATGAGTGAAATAAATTTTTTAAGGGTAATAGTTACTCTACGTAACAAAATAGGCACTCTATGAAAAGGTTATCCAGGAAACAACTATGGATAAATTGTTGAAGAAAATTTTAAAAATTCTATTTTTTTTCCTTACATTTTCTATCATCGTGTATGGTTTTGGTTTTTTTTTAAAACAAAACTATTTTCCATTTTTATCCCACTAAACATTTTCGTATTGTGAATAAAAAAATTGAGTTTCCGTCATTTTTTAAATACGCTTTCAACAAAAAATACTAAAGACTTTTATATATGACAACCCGATTTCCGAATAGATAAATTTGGTGTAACACCAATCTGTTCTAATCATGAATTTTAATAAATATAAGGTAATGGCTGGAGGTCCAGCGTTCTTAAGACCCGAGACGGAATTGACAATCCGGTTGTGTTATGTTAACTTTGATGGTGCTAAGGCTTTAGCGGCGAGCGAGAGGATCGGGCTTGAATCTAGTCTTCCAGAAAACTTTGTACAATCACAGTGTTCACAATTATATGACGGTATTCAGGTATGTATAGTACATATTTTCATTAATCATTTGCTGTTGCGAGAAAAATAATCATTAATGATGATACCCCCCGCAAAAAAAACAAAAGAAAAAAAAACAACAACAAAAAAACACCAACAAAACACACCCAAATTATAAAACACAACAAAAACAACAACATCATCATCAGCAGCAGCAACAACAACAACAACGTCAAACAACAACACGCACTTTTGCTTTGGTATTGAATGATATATCTGTAACTGGAGATATGTTTTAATTGTGAATATAGATTCCGTAGCATATATGCCGTGAGATGTCGTTAATAATTACAACAATACTAAATAACCATACTTAATATTATTCTGTATTATGATAGGGGGTTTTATGTTTCTTTTTCCAGGTACTGAAGCAATGGGCGAAGAAAACATTGGAGTAGTAACGCGTTTTCATTTTGTGACAAACATTTTCTCTGTATTACATGTCATCATTTGCTTTATTACTTGTCAATTGACACTTACTTGAGATTTTTTTTGCGATGTTCGTCAGATTACCAATTCTTTAATACGTGTTTAATGTATTAATGTGAGTATTTCTTTTATTATGCCTAAATTGTTGTCTGCGTTTCATATTTTCTATGAAATAATAAAATTAGTGTCTAAAATTTTTTTTTTATATCTTGTTAAATAATCTTTAACTGCTTTTATGTAATAAACAAATTTCAAAGATAACAGCTATTTTAAAAACTATAAATTTTGGCCCATTAAAATATTTATATTTTATGTTTTAGTATTTTTTTGTTCATAAGTAAATTTTTAAAATCTTTAACAAAGATACCCGACTTATAACCTTTTAAAGTATGATCCGATGTTACCCGACATAAAAAGGTGAGTAGTTACGTTTTTAAAAGTTTTTGAAAAATGTGCCCTTTTGCGATTTTTTTAATTCCCTTTAAAAAGAATATCCAGACACCATTACTTGTAGAAATGAAAATCCTAAAATTTCCCAAAAAGTCTTTTAAAGTGGGGGGAAGCTTGGGCAATAGGGGAAAAATATCGGGGGGTTCTATAAAACCTTTCCTTTTGCCCGGCAGGAATTTTTTAGGCGGGATTATATTAAATATTCAAAACAACCAATATTCGACATTAAAAAACAAATAAATTTAAAAAAAGAGGTTTTTTTTTTAATTACTTTCAATTTAAATTAAGATAGCAAATTAAAAACTTTTCCCTTTACTTGCCCATTTGTTAACGTTTGGCCCGTTAACATTATCGCCAATTTATTTTTAAAAAATTTGGGGTCTATAGTTAATCAAAAGGGCACCCGTTTCACAGTTTGCAATTTACCTGTTGAACAGAATATAATGTAATTTTCCTATTTTAATTATCTTATTTATTGTTTTCTGTGCAATAATCTGTCCGATTAATCAGTCATTGTCTTAAATTTTGTGAAGACGAAAAAATCGATACGTATTAATGGTCAGTGTCTATATTCCGTCAAAATATATTTATTCCGTAGAAACTAAGACTCCGTGTGATATTTACTGCGTTATAGCTAAATGTATCTGAAGAATATTTTAAACCTTATCTAAAATTATAAATAAATAATATATTTAATTCAAGTAAAGTATCAATGTAAATTATGTGTTTTGGGGGCTAAGAAGCTATATACGGTGATTCATTTTTCTGTCAATCAAGTCACGTGAGTTACCTACCGTTAATAAGACCATGAAGACAAATGATCAGCAGTCGGATTAACTGAACAAAAGGCAATGAAAACTATGAATTTATTTCAAAAGTAAACATTTATGTCGATTTACAATATATAAAATAAAAAAACTTTAGTTATATAGGTATTTTTAATCGTCGATTATTCCAAACATATTAAAATTGTACATTATTCGACGCAATCAATTTCGGATACGTATACGTCAAAGAGAAATATTCGTACAAATGTTGTAAAAACGAATATTCGAATATATTCGAATATGGAAAACGAATATTCGAACATCAAATTCCTTATTCGTTCCCAGCCCTAGAATTTATCCATGCAATCAATGCAGACCAAGACCGTCTGCGCCGTCTGATAAAACTCAGCTCTGTTTGCTATTCAGTCTGTACTAACTTTGTTTATTACTTATATTTGTCCAGATTGTTAAATGTATATATTTAGCGTGGTTAGATGATTAAACTTCTAAATAATAGCAATATGTGATAAGATTCCATATACAAACCGTTTCTCAGTTCATTCTTGACATTATGATATAGTCTTTCTACAATGCTTTCCCGCCAACAAATTTCTAACGTCGGCAAATATCGTAATAAATCGGTCATTTCCGAAGTTAATGTTTCTCAATCTTTGGTATTCAATAATTTTTGACCTTTCATAATCAGAATTTAGTACATTGCGATAAAGGTCGAGTGATTGTAGATAATGCTTAAGTTTTTGAAAAAATAACGTTCCGGAAATAACCGATTTGCAACGATATTGACCGATTTTCTTAGGCGGGAAAGCATTACAGTAGGCAAATGAAAATCCTATTATTAGAACATTACACTATCAAATATATTGTTCGTGTATCAACTGACATGCTCTATCAGCGCTTTACAAGATATATTAATTAAGCTATGAAAAATAGAACACTATCCTCTCAAAATGATGCACAATGCTTCTTATAATTAAGATAAACATCCGTATAGATTAATAGCTACCGTGTATTTAAGTGATAAACGAAACGAGTATCTAATTAAAAATCAACGTTTTTAACCGGCAGCATTGCAAAAGGTCACACATATCTGAGATTGAAAAAGTTTGAAAAGAATAAGTAGCTTGCAGCTTGGATTGCAAGAATGAGTCCATTGCACTTTACTAATGCTGTAACGAAGTCTCTTCAAACCAATATTAAAAAGAATCCGTAACGTAAACAGACACTGGTATTGTCTATGACATTCCGTCTTGACTAAGGCTTTGAAACTTGTATCGCTGGACAGATGACACTAAACTTATACAAAATCGAAACGACATCGGAAAAAGCCAAATGGTGGTTTAACGGTTGGATCGGGAAAATGGTGTTGTTTACGAAAATGTATACATGTTATATACAGAAAAAATGAACGTTGGACGCCACGCGGATATCGCCCGAGAATATTACTTAGGTTATGACTATGGTTCTCACATTGTGTGTAGTAGACCCTCAAAACTAGTACAAAAACGAATTTGCAAATGGAATCAGTCAAATGGAGTTTTAACGGTTAACTTGAGTATGTAAGGTGTGTTTTTGTACGAAAATATATACAATTTACATAGAGTAAATTACATACAGAATGATCAAGCATCGGTCCGACAACCCACCATGCCACGAGAAGTTCTCCTGGACAGATTTCTTGAGTTAGAGCTTTGGGTATTTCCTGGGTACCCCCCCCCCCCCCAAACTTGTAAAAAAATCGAATTTGCAACGAAATAAATTAAATGGGGTTATACAGTTCAGTTGACTCGAGAAAACAATGATGTTAAGGAAAAATACTTCTATATAGTGAAAGAACAAATCGCCGGTCCGAAAAACGGCCATGCCACGCGGATTTCTCCTGGACATATTTCTTGGGTTAAAGCTTTGGGTATAGACCCTCCAAACATGTACAAAATCGAATTTGCAACGGAATCAGTGAAATGGTGTTTGAACAGTTGAAGCTCGAGAATATGATGCTAAATTTACGAAAATATGTACACTTTATATACAGAAAAGACAAATCGCCGGACCGAAATACAACCAAGCCAGGCAGAGTTATCCTGGATAATATTGCTTGGGTTTTGGTCTTTAAAACGAAAACTTGTACAAAAACGAATTTGCAACGGCATCAGTGAAATGGCGTTTTGACAGTTGGCTCAAGAAAATGATTTTTATGAAAATGTGTACACTTAAAATAGAGAAAGAACAAATGAGCGGTCCGAAAACGACCATGCCATACGAAGTTCTACTGGACATATTGCTTAGATTAATTTCGTTTATTCTGCTCACACGTCAATGCCAGTCAAATATTCCATATAAAATGTTTATTTTGTTAGAAGTATTTCTTTTTATTTAGTACGTTACATGAATGTATAATTTTTAAATGGATAACTGACTTTACTTTGTTGGATCTAACATTACAAAAATGGAGTTATACTCAGTCAATGCGAAAAACATTCTGATTTTGTCAAACGGTTTTATTTCATTTACACGACATAAACAATAGTATTCTTTTACCGAATGTCCTAAATCAATTAAAATATGTTATATACATGCTAAGTCGTATGATTCGTTGATATTTACCTACTAATAACTTTTGATTAAAAAAACTTTATGAGAAATTAAGTTTACTCATAACTTCGTCATGGATACAACTGAATAAACATTCATTACGACGTGATTATTTGCTTAAATCCATTTACTTTCTATCACACACGGAACAATGGAGCAATGGAACGACTCAATAGCACATATATTTAATATTTCAGATAGCTGCTGCAGTGGCGCTAATGAACTTAATGGACCAATATGAAAGTGTCTTAAATTCAATTGTTGTTTGCGTAGAGTAATGTGAATTTAAGGAGAGAACTGCTGAAAGTATATTCTTGTGGGAATATATGATAAAGTACTTTTTAAGTAACGCGTAAATTCTAACAAAAGTTATATAAAATACATTTTAAAGCTACTTTTTAATGTTAGTTTTTAAGTGTTTGCTCAATAGTAATTTATATCATTTGAATATTTAAATAAACATTCACTCTTCTGTTGTATAAATACATTTACATAAACCCATTTATGTAACAATGCTGATGGTCCACGAATCCATTACAGTAATTACTTGTTCTTGACCTGTGTTTACATCTATAATTAAGAATAACAGCGAAACCTTACATAATAATAAAAAAATGTAATTTCACAAAAAATATAACTGTAAATTATTTACCAAATGTATTTTAGGAATATATTTGTTGGACTTGTTCTTTATTGGACGTTATTTTTTGCTATATGTTAGCATTTAGAAACAACATGTTTCCTATGTTTTGATTATTTTCAACACAACGATACTTATGTTCTAACTAGGACCAAGCGAGATCACTTTACAGTTATCTCTGTTTACATGATACCATTTTTGTTACAAAGTTGTATAAACATGAATGTATTTAAGAAAAATTCCCGTAATGGAAATTTACTTGATAATCTTCCACATAAGAGGTAAATCCAGTAGACTGATAAAGCTTTATAAAGAATTTCGAAAATGCCAATTTTGATGAGTCGGTTACCTTTCTTTTGACACTTCAGTATATTTTTTTTAGACCATGCAAATTTGATTTGTGCTTGTTTCGTCCTTATGTTGGTTATAAGATGAAGCAACAATCTTATAAAAAAGCAAATATTCGTTATACTTTGTTTTAAACTTCCCCATCCATAGAACCGACTTTAAGTCAATGGCGATGTAATGCAAAGCCTGATGTTTTGCCTAACCAGGATGTGGTGTAACAAAATAACACATAGAAATTGTCATAATATCACCTTTAAGCTATATTCACAATCACAAAAGAAAAATATTCGATATGTCATTTGCATACACATTTCTCTTGTTTCAAACGATT